TTCTAACCCGCCCAAAAGGCCCCATTCCCCCCCCAAAAACCCAAAAAGTTTTGGGGGCCTTCCCCCCGCCCCGGGCCCCCCCCAGGGGGGGGGGAGGGGGGGGGCTCTGCTTCCCCATCTGCGGCCCCCCCCCCCCCCCCCTCAAATGTCCTGGATCCGCCCTTGCGACGTTTAACCAGGGGTAAAATCATCGCTTTTATTGAAAAAACAATACACCAAGATTATTCCGGTTACTCTGTTTTCAAAACGTCTATTGCTGATATTGAAACTATTGTATCGCTTTAAATAGTAATAGCGTAATCACGATGGCAGAAAAATTGATTTGTTATTCTAAGTAGAATCTGTATGTGTATTATGTCATGCGGTGAATCTCTGCAAGACAAAATTTGCGTTAGATCTTTATAATGTATAGTAAAATCATGATTTTAATGATACTGATGAGAGAAATAAAGTAGCAGATTATCCTTTATGCCAAGTTATACTTTATAAAATTTATTGATATAATCATTATCTATAAACTAGTTTTCGAGTTCTGAATTATTTTATTTACACCGTCTTGGGTGCAATTCGCCAGTCTGTGCAGCTGTACCCCTGTATCTTCATTAAGAGTGACTCAAAATTTTGGAAATTAGAACTAATAAGCAAGCATTTTTTCATCAGAAGTTTTGAATACATGTAGTACACACTAGTAGTGAAGGCTACCTTGGGAATAAAGGGGAAAAGTGTTGAAATTTTTGTTTGTAAGTGTTGAATATTTAAGTTTGTACACAAAGGTCTAACGCTGGTGTGTGTCTTTAAATTTATTGTTAAAAAAGCTAAACAAATAAAAAAATGGACTGTAACATTTTTAAAGTGAAAAACTGACTTGCATTAAATATAAAAATCAAGTTTACATTATTTTACTTTATTTCATTTTATTTTATTTTATTTTATTTTAACAGAGTGGTTGGATACTATTACACATATCCACAATTCCTGGATCGCTTCCGGTTGCCGTCTGACTCTGCAAACGAGGCTCTCATCGAAGCCGGGATAAAAGGGATGACAAAACACCTGGAGACTTTAGAGAAACGCTATCTCCAGAAATCACCGTACCTTGTCGGTGACGAAATCACAGTGGCAGACACCGTGGTTGCCACCATTTTATGCCAGGCCGAGTGGGTGGGCTTTAAATTCAAAATATGGCCCAGAGTGAACCAATGGCTTGATAACGTAAAACAGCAAGAATTCTGGGACCGCGTCCACGACGCACATTACCAGTTTCTGAGAGAACTGGAGCAAGAAGTCCCACAGTTCGACTAGGGTGCTAATCAGAGAGGCTTAGCTTTATGTGTAGAACTGTTTATTACGTGTTTATTGTTTCGTCGCTTTTGTCTTGCATAATACGTTGTTTCAGTTTTAACGTGCGGCGCAGGTCTGCAGGTCGGATATAATAGTGTTTTAACATTTTTCCAAATCGAGGCTATTCCGCCGAAGGCTCCCTTAGGTCGGACCTTGAGCTTGTCCTATAGTTTACTAGCAGAAACACGGAAACACGGACACTGCACATTCATTCTAAACGACTTTGTGTCACACATTGATTAATTGTATGAATATTGTCAAAATCAAATTAAGCATTCAGGTACATTAACTGATTGCCCAGAAGGCTTGGCCAACATACATGTACAAGGATAGTTGACTCTGTACTTTCTGTCAGGCTTATTCATGTAGATGTAACTTGCTTGGACTATTGCATTAAAAGTCCCGAGCATTTTCCTGTTTATATAAAATATTCATATTCAAATCTATACATTCGACTTTTGGTGCAATATTTAAAGCTTAAGCGGCATGCACGACCCACCAACCTTGTAGGTAACATTTACTTTTTTTCACAACTAGGACCCAAAATATAGATTATATATATTATCTTCTATCCTGGTTCACAACTATAGCAGTTTGCGGTCATGCAAGAAATAGACTCATTGTGAAGTTATCAAATCGGCAACATCTAAATCCCCGACCACTGCATCTGTTTGGAGCGGAGCATGAAACGTTGATGTTTTTTTTTCCTTTGGTCTCTAAGTATATCCCTCAGAGCGTGTAAAATTGTTACTCTCATCAACTCCAGAAGCAAAAAAAAAAAACACCTTTCCACGATCTTCAATAACTCATGGGAATGATTTTGCAACATAAATTTACTACGTTTTTTTATGTTCGTGACTCAGTTTGTTAACATAAATGCAGATTGAATTAAGTATGTTCAGCAAAAAAAAAAAAAAAAATTAGTCTAATTTTACCTTGGAAATTCCTACCAAGTTCGCAATGTAGATTGAATTGCAGCAGTTGAGACAGAATGCGGTAATTGCTTCGGCATCATGGAGGCTTTGGATATCTTACCAGCGAGTGGAAACGCGCATGGACAAAATTTCGTTATTATGTCCAAGAAACGCGTTACTTTTATGATTAAGACGGATCTAACCGTCAGTACTGACCTTCTGGGGCAACCAGGACTTGGCCTGTGCGGCACGCATGAACAGCAGTCGATCCACCACACCTGGGCCTTTTGTTTTTGGACAACTGTTCATTTGTCATTGATGTTCTTGTTCAAGACTTCAGACTGACATCTACTGGTACTCCCAGTGGCTTCATTAAGCCTAGGTCCCAACTCCGTTTTGGACACACGTTTTTTTTAGGTTCCTTGCGTCCGGCTAGGACGTAGCTAGATTGCAGGGAAGGAATCAAGTAATTGGTGATTGCAAAGAGTTGATCCTGTCGAAAAGTTTCTACGTGCTGTTTACGTCCTCCAAAAGTCGCACGATGAACGTGCTCCTTACGCACGAACCCCCACGTTTTCCCCATTTTTTGGGCCGTAGACCACACGTAGCAGCCCGTACGTTCGGTTGGGAACCGGGCTTTAGTAACGCTAACGCTTCCACAATTCACGGTTTTCTTTCTTTGCGTACATACCCTGAAAAATGGTTAGCCTATCTGCCGAGAACAATGGCCGTTTCCTGGATGATGACTAGATCATTGCGCCATCTATCCAGTTTATAATTACATTCTGAAATCACTTCGGCCCAATCTCCCGTTCCATTACGGTCACTTGAGAATATTTTGAATAATTTGTGCTCTCAATTCATGAGAAACATTGACCGCATTTAAGACAAAGTGTTTGTTAGCCAAAGCCAAAAGACTGGAGCCAGTCCAACGGAGAAATATATAGTGGCGCGAACCTCTCGGAAGGTCAATAAAAGTCTAGGAAGATAAATTTCTAGACGAAGTTAGGACGTGTATCATGATGAAAAAATAATAACTGTGGGCAGAAAGTCAGTATGCAGAGGAAGACTAGACCCATAATCAATATATATATAGAGAGAGAGAGAGTGAGAGAGAGAGAGAGAATTTCATTTCGGCATTATGTTTTGGAAAATTGAAAAGTCTGCTACAGAGCCAAAACTTTTGTGCCAGAGGCAACATATTGAAGCAGTATGAAGTGAAAATTTCATTGGATTGACACGGATAAATGACTGAAATAAAAGGAACATGGCCTTTATTTAATCCTCTCGATACATATCGTTATTACTTGTAAATTGTGATTGCATGCTTTTCAGACTAAAAGTCAACAAAAAGAACGGTTTTTAAGTAGGCTTAGATGGAAATGACTCCATTTAGTGTCTTCAGTAAACTTAACCACTGTGAGAGTTTTTTTTTTTAATTTGCACAGTGTCTTTGAGAATCCAGACTTTTTTCATCAACGTCATTATTTCCAAGCGTACATGATAGATCCTACACAGCAGAACTCGATGCTATCCGGAAAATTAAACAAATCGGCATAGCATCGAATTCCGCTGTGTAGGATCTTTCATGTACGCTTTGGAAATAATGATGTTGATGCATATTTGGTTTCCCGTGAAAAAAAGTCGGGAGACACTGAATGGAGGCATTTCCATCTAAGAGTACTTAAAGAAATACCGGTACTCAATGATGCACATTGCATACGTAGGATTTCCGCAAAATGATAAAGAATAATAAGTTAACGACTTTTCTTTGGTAAAAGGGCATTCTTTCCGATTAACCAACTTCTGATATTTTTATCTGACACGGGTCATTACTTTGCTACAATCTGAGAAAAATAAAAAATCCTAAACTTACGCTTAATCGATATACCTTTTCCATCATACCAAAGAGCTCAATTCCAGATTGTTCGCAATTATTAATCGTGATAAGATGGTTGACGGGCAACGAGGTTCCTCAAGAGTTGGTAAATTTCAATTTTTAAAGACGTTTATCGGTTAAAATACGATCAGATAATATCACTTAATTGTCCTTGGGGAAATTCAACAATAAGAAATTCATTTATTAAAAACCCTGCACTCTATCACATTTAAAAGGATGCAGAGGAAGAAATTTCGATGTTTTGTATTTCATTAAATGATCAAAAGGAAAGAAAAGAAAAAAAATTCTATTGCAACGACTTCTAATCACCAATGGGGCAGCGATGCATCGAGATCAAAAGTGATTACTTCACATTATATTATTCTCAAAAACTATAATCCAAGCTGGGAAATCGCTCACGCAACGTCATACAATTTTTGAATGCCTCGACTGTGATACTCACGAGGCAATGGGGAAAAGAAGTTGTACATGTGAATTATAAACCCCATGCCCATACCTAGATTGATCTAACAGGATCGACCCATCTCCGAGGGGTTTCTCGCTAAATTGCTTTCAGCTGAAGTGGCTTAGAAGTCTGGAACGCCTACTGAAGCTGCTAAACGATAGTTAATAACCCTCTAACAGCTTCAGTAAGCGTGTCAAACATCAGACTCGGAGATAGGTCGATCCTGCTAGATCAATCTAGGTATGGGACTAGAATCAGAACTTGACAAAAGGGTTGAAAGCTGCACTGATTTTTCTATGTAGACCTCTGAGCCCTGGCTTTCGAGTGTCTTTTTTCAATGATTATTTTTCTTGTTTGCTACATGATTCTACAGTATATGAACTACCGATAAAGTTTTTTTAATTATTGTACCATTCTTGATCCAGATATGACCCCGGTGTTAAACAACCACCTCTGTGGATGCGATTTTTTTAACTTGTTTATTTTCACATTCCTCTATCAGGGGAAACCTTGCTGGTTGATGTCAATTACGTCAATCACCCATCGATTCCACGTGAATTCTGGCACCGCTTTTCGTGTTTCTGGCACCTAAACAAAATTATTCGGAAGATGGATTGCATGAGATCCTGCCAATTTTCCTTCAATGTCACGACNACCACCCCTTTTGCTGGGAAAATGCCCGCTCTGGGTAAAATTTGAAATTAGTACATAAAGTTTTCATGGTGAAAGGTCCTCGTTTTCAGACCCCCCTTTGGAATTCCTGGCTGCGAGCTTGTTGTTTTTCTGTTGTGGCATTTTGTATACTAACCGTGCGGTCCATTGTATGTGCATTGTGGCCGTACCAGTGACCCTGTGATAAGGTGACCGGGCACAAAAAAGGGTAAAGGAAAAGGGTATAAAAGAAGAGCGTAATAAGTTGTAAGAGCGGAACGTAATTGTTTTCCTGTTGAATTGATGGAGCTGAATGCGCCTGCGATAATTACATCAAGTAGGGGCACGCGGTTATAATACTCCACACGTGTGTCCATAAAAAGTGAATAAGGATGAATGAAGCAAAGGTTTTGTTTGTTTTCGTTATTTTTATGCAAACCTAGTTACGCAAATGCAACTGGGTGCGTTTCTCTATAGGTGCGTTTTTCCTTGTGAATGTTATTGCAAGCCTGTCTACCTATACTATGTGTAGTACAATTCATTACAGCTAATATCGTGTTGTTTGCAAATGGCTACACTGAAAAAGTATTGTTTTGTTGCTTCCCAGTGTCATGTGCGAAAAAGCCAACCTATAATTAAATAAATTTCATTTAAAAATGTCACAATATTAGTATATTCATATACTATTCACTCTGTTTGGTAATATAATTTTCTGAAATGCACTTTATGTTTACATGCGCCTTTGTGAACTTGTGTATTTAATAAAACGCGTACATCTCTAACAATTGTAAAAGTAAAATTTCCAAACTCGGCGTATTTCTATCATCTCTTCATTTCTGTAAATCTATAGTCCATATCTTAATTAACAGAGTAAAACATAACCATTTCAATTATTCTATTTATTTATTTATTTATTTATTTATTTATTTATTCATTTGATATTACAGACAAGCTATCTTACGCTACCTGGCCACGACGTATACAAATTTTGCTGGCTACGGCAATACCGCCAGGGAGCGCGCATTGTGTGAGTCCATCATCAGCTGGGCAAGCAGCGAGCTCCACAGGTGAGACCATCGTGTTCTTAATACTCTATGATTGGTATGACGCAGTGACGGATTAAGTGGGGGTGCCAGGGGGGTCTTGACACACACCCGCCCCCCCCCTTCGATGTCTGAAAAAAAATCACACCAACGGTCCCCTCTTGAAATTAAAATTTTGACTAGGTGAATCATAGTTCTAAACCGTACCAAATGGCACTATTCGCCCTCTAAAATACTAAAATATTTCGGGACCCTACACTGGGTCCGAACCCAAAGGGGGGATGGTCTGCTTCGCATCCGTGGACCCCCCCCCCCTTCAAATAATCCTGGATCCGCTCCTGTGACGTTTAACCAGTGGTAAAATTATCGCTTTTTTTAGAAAAATCAATACACCAAGATTATTCCGGTTACTCTGTTTTCAAAACGTCTATTGCTGATATTGAAACTAATGTATCGCTTTAAGTTGTGATAGCGTAATCACGATGGCAGAAAATTGATTTGTTATTCTATGTAAAATCTGTATGTGTATTATGTCATGCAGTGAATCTCTGAAAGACAAAATTTGCGTTAGACCTTTATAATGTATAGTAAAATCATGGTTTTAATGATAGTGATGATAGTAATAAAGTAGCAGATTATTCTTTATGTCAAGTAATACTTTATAAAAATTATTGATATAATCATTATCTATAAACTAGTTTTCTAGTTCCGAATTTTTTATTTACACCGTCTCGGGTGAAATTCGCCAGCTGTACTCCTGTATCTTCATTAAGAGAGTGACTCAAAATCTAGGAAATCAGAACTAATAAGCATATGTAGGCCTATAGATCGTTATTCTAACCACATTTTGGATAGTAGTATACCTGGAAAATAAAGGGAAAAGTGTTGTAAAATCATTGAATATTAAAGTTTGTCGATGGTGTGTGCATTTAAATTTATTGTTAAAAAACCACACAAACAAAAAAAAAATATTAGACTATAAAAGTTGTTGAAAAAGTGAAATACCGAATTTCATTAAATATATAAATTAAGATCGTTTTGTTTTATTCTATTTTAACAGAGTGGTTGGATACTATTACACATATCCACAATTCCTGGATCGCTTCCGGTTGCCGTCTGACTCTGCAAACGAGGCTCTCATCGAAGCCGGGATAAAAGGGATGACAAAACACCTGGAGACTTTAGAGAAACGCTATCTCCAGAAATCACCGTACCTTGTCGGTGACGAAATCACAGTGGCAGACACCGTGGTTGCCACCATTTTATGCCAGGCCGAGTGGGTGGGCTTTAAATTCAAAATATGGCCCAGGGTGAACCAATGGCTTGATAACGTAAAACAGCAAGAATTCTGGGACCGTGTCCACGACGCACATTACCAGTTTCTGAGAGAACTGGAGCAAGAAGTCCCACAGTTCGACTAGGGTGCTAATCAGAGAGGCTTAGCTTTATGTGTAGAACTGTTTATTACGTGTTTATTGTTTCGTCGCTTTTGTCTTGCATAATACGTTGTTTCAGTTTTAACCTGCGGCGCAGGTCTGCAGGTCGGATATAATAGTGTTTTAACATTTTTCCAAATCGAGGCTATTTCCGCCAAAGGCTCCCTTAGGTCGGACCTTGAGTTTTTCCTTTAGTTTACTAGCAGAAACACGCAACGGACACTGCGCTTTCATTCTCAACAACTTTGTGTCATACATAAATTAATTGTATGAATATTGTCATAATCAAATAAATCATTCAGGTGCATTAACTGATTGCCCAGAAGGCTTGGCCAACATACATGTACCCCTGTACAAGAAAAGTTGACTCTGTACTTTCTGTCAGGCTTATTCATGTAGATGTAACTTGCTTGGACTATTGCATTATAAGTCCCGAGCATTTTCATGTTTATATAAAATATTCATATTCAAATCTATACATTCGACTTCTGGTGCAATATTTAAAGCTTAAGCGACATGCACGACCCACCAACCTTGTAGGTAACATTTACTTTTTTCACAACTAGGACCCAAAATATAGATTATATATATTATTTTCTATCCTGGTTCACAACTATAACAGTTTGCGGTCACGCAAGAAATAGACTGATTGTGAAGTTTTTAAATCAGCAACATCTCAATCCCCGGCCACTGCATCTGTTTGGCGCGGAGCATGAAACGATAATGTTTTTTTTTCCTTTGGTCTCTAAGTATCTCCCTCAGAGCGTGAAAAATTGTTATTCTCATCAACTCCAGAAGCAAAAAAAAAAAAAAAAAAAAAAAAAAAAAAAAAAA